CGCCGACAAGGCAGACGCCCAACTGCGAACCAAAGGTACAGTCCAACTGATGCGCCAACACGAACATGCCGAGGGCTCACGTAGATTGGCGGCCGTGAAAAAAAGGGTAGTCTTGGCGACGGGGACGCGTGAAATGGACGATCTGAGGGGCCGCCAACCAATCGCAGATCAGTCAGAGTCGGGATCACGGAATCGCCTTCTGCTCTGACGCGGTCCACTTGACCACCGCCGCAACGCGTGAACGCCGGCTCGAACAGTTGGCGTCTCGTTGAGGCAGTCCGAAGCCGACGTTGCCTTTCGCCTACCAGCCAAGGTGCAAACCTCCTCCTCCTCCTCCTCATCCTCCTCCTGCTCCTCTTCCCCCCCCCCACGCCGCCCTCCTTTCCAGCCCCGCTACGGCAACCGCGACGCCGACGGCGACAGTGACGTCGCAAGCTACGAGTCGCGGCTCCACCTCGCCACTCCGTCCGACGACGATGCTGTCCGCCTCGCCCGTCCTCCCGACGGTCGGTTCGCTGAACCGGCCCGTTGAAGCGCCGACGGCCTACGTCGCCTCGATGCTCCGCCAGCGGCCGCCGCCGCCGCCGCCGCCACCGCCACCACCACCGCCGCTGCCGCTCACCCAAGCCCAGCCAATCACCGCCGAGTCCGAGACCGGACTCGCCGATTCGACGTCGGCAGGTCAGACGGATCGACTGACCGACGCGCAACCAACAACCTCGGCCCGGCTGAAACGATGCGCGCATGCGACCACACGACTGGCCAGACTCGAGCCGCGGTTGCCGGCGAAACGAAGTCATTTCGACCCGACCGACGAGAGTGGTCTGAACGAGGATGAGGCGGAAGGGGAGGCGGAGGCGGAGGCGGAGGTGGAAGTGGATGGGCCAGAAGGGGTCACCGAAGCCGAGCGAGACGAGAGACACGAGGAGCCTGCCAAGTGGTACCACGGGACCTTGCAGTCGGATTGGTCGAAAGCCGGCCTCGACGCTGCTCACCCGAGCTCGGCCTCGAAAGCCCGTTTCCCATCCTCTCTCGCGTCGCTAAGGCCTCGTGCAATCGGCCACACCAACAGCATCAATAGCAGCAACACTGTGAAAGCAGGCGAAGAGGTCTTAGGGCTGAGACGGTTGCCGGGGAAACAGGAGGACAGAACTGAGGCGAGGGGAAGTGTTTGCAGGCGAGCGGAATGTGTTGACGACGCTGTGGTCGAGAAAGAGGACGAAGAAGAGAATGTTGATGAAGAAGCCGAAGCAGACGACGACGACGACGAAGAAGAAGAAGAGCCGGCGTCAGGCCAAGGCGAAAAGGAGGGGCGCGAGTTGTACAGGCCCGCCTACAGAACGAGGAGAACGTCTGTGGAAGGAGTGAAAGAAGAAGAGGTGGAGGAAGAGAAGCAGCCCAGCCTCAAAGTGAGTCAAGTGGAAGCTACCAGTCTCGAGTCGGTTGGAGTAGCCGCCTTCGGGATGCCTATCAACGCCACTGAGCTGCAGGATGAGGTGGCCCGGTTCGATAACGACTCGCCTGACAACATACTTACAGGACAATTGATTGTCCACCCGCAGTCGGATACCTTTGACGCCGATGAGGTGAGTCCTACCCACAAACACACATACATGCATACACATAAGTCGGGGTGGAAACACGCCTAGGCGCCCATTTGTAGTAGGCATGGGGAAAAAGTGGCTTTGAAAGGATCATTTAATGCCAAGCAAAGGTATGCACATCGGAACGGTGTGACCTTGTTTTCGCAACTTGCTCTGAGTCGAATGAAGCTTCCATGAGTGTCCGTTAGATCTCTGAGATTGTAGGCATTTTTATGAAAATAGGGAAAAGCCAAAAAATGCCTAATACTATGCAATGTATGACTGGTAAACTGAATAGAGGAAGGTGAAAGTGATGATGAACACATTGGAAGTTATAGATTGTAAAAAAGGACTGGTTTGGCCTCGTTTCCGCAACCTGATCGTGTTGTCAGGCTGATCTAGATAAACGCCCATGTATCGAAGTCCTCTACCATAGTAGTCAAGATACCTTCTAGCGTGTGAGCGTGAAGCCGTAAATAGAACTTGTGATAGTGGAAGGGTAGATATCGTTATGGGACCCGGTATAGAGAGAGATATATATACGAAAATTGGTTAGCAGAACGTTGTTCAGATGATGTATTTCAAGAATATCCTTTACAAGTTGTAGTTTGGTGCTAAAAAATGTCAAGGCACCCTAGCGACGCGGACGAAACTTCCACGGCCCGACGTCGGCAATTATCATCGCTTGACAATGCGACCAAATTGAGAAAGCCAGGTTAAAGCATTTCAATCTTTTAATAGTTTCAGATTGTACATTTGATTTAAACTGAAATAGCTGGCGGAAAGGATTCGTAAATTGGATTTACAGGAAATTGAATGAGTATGAAGTTTTAGTTATGATAGTGGATTTTCTCCGAGTCCTCAGCATAAAAGCTCGATCCAGGTCGCCAAGAATTTATGTGAACATCCACAGTCACGAGCGTAGATATCTTTACGGATCCCTTTCATCTGCCTGTTAAAACGAGATGAAAGCTACAACAATACACTAATTTGGCCTTTCACTATGGCCACAATCGCAACATTCGAAATTTACCATTTTCACTCGTCTCCAGATGGCCGGTTGAAGTGCATGTATGTACAGGCTCTGAATTTTTGGAAATACCTTTTCACCTTATTTTCATCCGGTCACAGCCTCAAAAATTAGTCCTCATAAGACTCAAAATACAAGTTTCGAAGAATCCCTTAAGTAATTTATGCTGGAATACCTTCATTTGTTGATTGTTCATAAATGGGTATTTCTAGCTCTTATGATATCCGTCACATGACGAGTGAAAACTCAGCACAGAGGCATCGAGATCGCGTAAGTTGACCTCTTGTTGGCACAATCCAACAGCCTCAAGTCCAAGGCGACCCTCCTTCGAAATCCAGTGAGGCCAATTTATTAATCCTTTACACTTGTCGTTTTGAATGAAATGAAGGGCATCAAAATACGAGTTTATATCATCAAAAATCCCTCAACAAATGTGATATGGAAAAGAATCTGGCTTAACCTGTGAGCCCCGATTACGATCGTGCCAATGTAAAAAAGTGTACAGTAGAATAAACAAGGCTAGACATCATTCATTGGGATCATGAGGCATTGTCGAAATGTTAAAACTGGGAGTTATACATCCTAGGGTGGATACAGCTTTTGTTTGTTCACTTTCATTTTTAGAGAAAGTGTGTGATAAAAATATTTTAAGGTTAGTCCCATCAGAAAAATACGGCGACGAACTTGTTGGCTTCCTATAAACATCTCTTTCTACCTTACCGTTTTCTTTAATGATGAGAACATCCAGCAAAGATAAGGATTTATTCTCTTCCATTTTCATTGAGAACCTAATGCTCCTTTCATGCTCGTTGAGGGAAAGTAGGAAACTATCTAAATTGTCCTTTTAATGAGGCCAGATGACATAATAGTCATCCATGTATCTAACCAGCAATTTGGGTGTTAGCATTGCCTCTTGAAGGAAGTGTTCCTCCAATCTTGCCATACAATTGTTCGCTAAGATGGGATACAGGCAAGATCCCATCGCCAATCCTTGCGTTTTTTCGTATAACTTACCACTAAAGGTAAAATATGTGGTACTCATGGATAGGTTAATAAGTCTAATAATGAAAGCTACACTCATCCTTATTCCTTCTGTTAATTCTGGATGTTACTCCAGAGTTTGTATCAGAGTTTGAATAGCTTCTTGGACAGGAACATTTGTGTACATTGACACAACGTCAAAACTTACTAGTTTATCCTCTTCTGAAATTGTCTGCTGATCTAGCAATTTCACAAAATCATACGAATTTTTATCGGAATATAGCCAATAATTGTCATGGTTCCTTAGTTGTATGCATAAAGACCGTGAGCCTTTATGCATCACGCTTCTTTTATTATTTACAATTAATCTTAGAGGGACACTCTTTTTGTGAACCTTATGGAGACCGTAAGCCATGGGGGACCTTGCATCTCTCTGGAGTAGTGAGTTCATTTTTCACTTCCCCATTTCACCATAACTTATGCATACTTTAAGGGCATCCTTTTGCATAGTCTTAAGTCTTTCTGTTGGGTCTCTCAATAAAAGTCTAACGTGTCATTGTCATTTAAATGAACTAGCATTTTTTCTACATAACTTGACTTATACATGACTATCACTGCTGCACCTTTGTCGGCTTTCGTTATGAATAGATTAGTATTACACAGATATCTAAAAATCTTACTGAGATGACAATCCTTTTTAGGCAGTATTATATCCAGTTCAATACTATTCCTTACCTCTTCAGGCAATTAGTTCAACAGGTATTTCCAGAGAATGATTTACTTTACTTGAAAAAGCAAAATTCAATCCTCTTTCCAATAAAAGTACTAAACTATCCTCCAGAGTTGTACAAGAAATTGATCCCCACTTTGTTAAAACCATGGTAAGTAAGATTTATCTTTGGTGCAAAGTTTCTTGACCTTATTCTAATTCCTAAATTCCGAAGCTTTTTAATATGTATCCGACGCGTAGTTCTGCTAATCGCATCTCCTAACCCGTCAACCATGTCTTGCAAATTAATGAAATTCTCATCATTCAATAGTTTAAAGAGGGATTGTCTAAGCGTAGTTTTGGTTCTAATTAGGTCGTGGAGTTTGGTAATACTAGTGGAAGATATTCGTAAAACGATCGGCCTCACCAAAACCCGAAAGAAGATTGCCAGGAGTTGACTGTCGATTCGTGTGAATAACTTCCCGTCACACCGTCCCACAACCCCAATGAGTTTAAGCTGATCTTCCGCTTGTCTTATAGAAGTGGATTGACCTCGTTGTCTCAACTTGGTCTTGTTGTCAGGGCGACTTAGTAGAACGCACCTAGTCCGAAGTCGCCCTGATGAACATGATTAGGTTTCGAAAGCCTTTGGTGAGACTAAGGAGGTCAGAACTGCAGTCTAGTCCGGATTAGAAAGTCTGTGGAAGATAAAGCCAAATACATTTAAGTGGCATCATGAAGACTTCGATTAATTTTACTGTGGGAAACTCAACTACATTAATCCACTTAAGGTCTCGCCATAAATAAAGACAATTTCTGAGGATAACTAACAATCAATCAGTCATTTGTTTTATTTCGTGAGTAGGTTTTCGATACTAGCAGTAAATCAGATATTCACCCTATTTTGTTTAAGGTGATGAAGGACTGGTAGTAGAATTTTCCCATACTGATATGAGTAGAGCTGACATTTCTATTGAATTTAGCATAACCCTGCTTTCACTCGAAACTCTACTTATATACGAAAAATAAGTAATGTAAAGTATAAGACCAAGATGGTGTGGCCTTTTTTGTGGTCGCAGACTCCTTCCGTAGTATAGAAATTGTTTGACCTTGTTTTCGCAACTTGGTCATATTGGTAGGGAGACTAGTAGGAAAGCACCTTGTCCTGAGTCCATTGTATGCATAATTATATTCAAAGTCGGACCGTGGATGTG